ATATGCATCGAGACAACTGAAAGAACATGAAAAGAACTACCCCACTCATGATTTGGAGTTGGCAGTGGTAGTATTCGCCCTAAAGATATGGAGGCATTATCTTTATGGCGCAAAGTGCAAAATTTTCAATGATCATAAGAGTCTTCAGCATCTCTTCAATAAGAAGGAATTAAACATGAGACAACGATGCTGGCTAGAGTTGCTTAAGTATTACGACTGTGAAATACTTTACCACCATGGTAAAGCAAATGTTGTAGCTAATGCTTTATGCCGAAAAGTAAGCCTTGAAAGGAAAAAGCCAATGGCATTAAGAATCAAAGTTGTCTCAACGATTGTGGAAAGCATCAAGAAAGATCAGGAAGAAGCTTTAGAGAAAAATGACCGAAAGGAAGAACGTTTGGGCAAAACGTTCGTGATCGGTATAAACGGTTAAGGACTAAAGGTATTCCGGATAGGATTTGAGTACCTAAGACGGGAGGAGTAAGAGATCTTCTAATGGAAGAAGCTCACAAGACCATGTACTCGATTCATCCCAGCAGCACGAAAATGTATAGGGATCTGAAACCATACTACTGGTGGTCGACGATGAAGTTAGATGTTACAAAGTCTGTGTCCAAGTGTATGGCATGTGCACGGGTTAAGGCACAATATCAGAAACTGTATGGGAGTTTAGAAGCTTTACTTATACCCATGGCTAACTAGGAAGACATCACCATGGATTTTGTGACTAAACTACCTAGAATGAAGAGCGCACAACATTATTTGGGTGGTCGTTGATCGGTTTACTAAAAGTGTACACTTCATAGCAGCCAATGAAAAATGGTCTATGGATAAACTTGCAAATGCTTACGTGAAGGAGATAGTAAGACTTCACGGTGTTCCTTTAACGAGTGTATTAGATCATGATAGTCGTTTCACGTCAAGGTTTTGGAGAAGTATACAAGAGGAGTTGGGTATGATGTTGTGTCTAAGTACAGTCTACCATCTGCAAACCAATGGTCAGAGCGAACGAATGATTCAAACATTGGAGGACATGCTAAGAGCATGTACCATGGAATTCCAAGGTAACTGGGATGAACATTTACCTCCAGTATAATTTTCCTACAATAGTAGTTTCCACTCGAGCATCAAGATGACACCTTATCAAGCTTTGTATGGACAAAAGTGTCGAACACCGTCATGTTGGCTTGAAGCTGGAGAAAAGCAGTTTGCGGGACCTGAGATAGTCCATCAGACTACTGAAAACCTAAAAATGATTAGGTAAAGGATGTTAGCAGCCCAGGATTGTCAAAAGATCTATGCTAATAAGAAAAGACAACTGATGACATTCAAAGTTGGAGATTCGGTTTTACTTAAAGTCTCGCCATGGAAGGGACTTATAAGATTTGGTAAAAGGAGAAAGTTGAGTCCAATGTTTATTGGACCGTTTAAAGTTCTTCAGATGATTGGGAACCAAGCTTACAAGCTAAAACTACTAGAAGAACTATATGGTATTCATAACACTTTCCATGTGTGTTATTTGAGGAAGTTTATGGGAGAAGTTCCCGACATAAATTAAATTTGTGAGTTAAGGATGGAAGAAAACAAGAGGCTAATTGAAGAACTAGAGACGATCGTTGACCGTAAGACTAATAAGTTGCGACGCAAGATGGTCGATTTAGTGCTTCTGTGATGGAAACATATGAATGGGCCAAATCTCACATGGGAAATGGAGAGTGACATGATGAGTCACTATCCGCACTAGTTTGTGGGCTAAGCATAAAGATGATGTAATAGTCTAGGTCAACCTTTGTAACTCATTTTGAAAGAATAAAAATGAATTATTTGAGTATTATGTGCTTCATACTTAATTATGATGATATGATAAATTAAGGATAAAAATAAGAGTCAAAAGTAAAATGATAGATAAACCGATATCTATGAAGAAAGTTGTAGTGGTCGTAACAAGGATTCGGGTGATATAAAGAACGCCGAAATCCAAGTTATATTGAGGAAGTTATGATTTGAAGAAGTTTCACGACAGAACCGGCACGACGTTGCGTGACGTAAAAAGTGAGTATATGATAAAGTGTTTTTTAGCCTTAGTGATCTAAATTAAAGTCGTACTATACAGTACATTGAGAGCATGGATAAAAAGAATGTCGAAATCTGACTTCGTATGAGGAAGTTATGAATTTTCTAAGATTTGGCATAGAAGTGTGCAGTGCGGAATTCAAATTATAGATTGAGCGATTTTTAGCCGACACAACCTAAACGAGAATTGAAGATCTCATCAACAGTACTTCAACGGTAAAAGGACAGACAAAAACGGACGTCGAATGAAAAAGTTTTGAATTTTTAACGGACTTTTTCTGTCCCGGCGTGTTAAAAATACAACTTAAAAAATAAAGTCAAAATTAACCAACGGGGTCTAAACAAAAGTTGTAGAGCACGGTCTTACCAACATGTGGATATAAAGAACTTGAAAAACGGAGCTCGTATGTGAAAGTTATGAATTTTGAAGTTCGAGGCACACACTTTAAAGCTTATCCGAAGGAACACCCAACGTACAAAGGGGTACACTAAGCGTATCGAGGTACGCCCAGGGTACGAGGTTTTTACGCCCATTAGTCTCACATTTTGCTCGGTCCAGGAGTGGCCACAACATACCCTTCGCATGCTTAACACGTCGATGACACGTCCCGCTCCTACGCCCAACGTACGAGAGTACGCTCAGCGTACAACAGTACGCCCCGCGTACCAAGTTTCGCCCAGCGTAACCTGAAGCTTCGGCCACTTATAAAAGGGGTGCAAGGCTACCCGATTTCTTTTACCAATTTTCAAACCATTTCACCCTAATACTTTCTCTTAAGTTACACTAAACAACCCGAAGCCTAGGGTACCTTCCTAGCACTAGAAGAAAGCCCAGAGAGCCCGAAGTCTTTGAGAAAAAGAGTTTTTCAAGTTGAAACTCTACCCGCGCAGAGCCCGGTTTTTGACCAAACCTCCCGGTTTCATAAAAAAAGATTGTTTTAAGGAACGGAGTGCTATCCAATCACCATCTTATCATGTGATTGTATAGTCACTTTCATCTTACACATAGATATGAAGTAATTTATATAAAATACGTGCTATATGTAAATATATTGTTTGTTTATTTGATATGTTTGTTGAATAAGTGTTTTATACATGTTTTAAACTGTATATGTATTTTTTTTATCTACAAATATGTTAGGTATAAAACGGGTAGATGAAATAATTGATGTGTGATGAAATAAAATGATGAGAGGCCTCGAAGTTAACGATGTTCCAGTCATCTAGTGGAGTATAGATGACGACCACAGACTTTTCTAGACAGTCCAGTGGAACGCTAGCAGGCTCGCAACCTGTAGATGTTTATGAACGATGTGTTCACCGGTGTAATCCATCCCCCTCATGTTTACCTTAAGGACGTATATGGCTGAGGAATCCCCTTAGCAGTAGTGTCCATCCCGATGATGATCCTTAGGCTAGGTCCCTTATGATAGGTGTTTAGGGACGTAAAGTGAGGATAACGGGAACGGGTAATTAAGGTTATTGTTGGTTGATGAAATTAATAAATTTATTTTTGGATGATGAAATTAATAAATTTATTTATTGTGGGTTGAAAATCCTATCTTCTCACCAGGCTCCCAAGCCTGACCTACTCAGCTTTCTGTATTACAAGTAGTGGAACAAGAGCATAGTTGGATGACTTGATTAAGGATTTTGGATTATAGGCCAGTAGATGTAAATAAATTTTGTAAGACCTATATTGTGCTGTTTTTTATTTTGATCTGTATCGATGTTGACATCCCCAGTTTGTAATGAAATGAAAATGCATTTCTTTAAGAATTGCTTTGATAAATTTTATTGTATTTTGTTTTGGGAACAAATTCCACAACACTTTTAATTGAAAGATTACTCTGATTTTATTATAAAAGCATAAACGAAATCGGTTTTTTCTGGCCGTGAAATGGGGATGTCACAAGAATGATCTTCTTTATATTATAAGAATTTATACTAAGATATATATATATATATATATATATATATATATATATATATATATATATATATATATATATATATATATATATATATATCGTTGTATTGTTGATTAAACTGGTACTCTTCCATTTTATATCTTACAAAATTATTTCTAAACTAATTTTTCGACAAGCTGTCTTTAAAATAGCAAAACCAAAAAAATCATTAAAATAGTCCCCCACAACATGAGAAAAACATGGATAATTCAGGTGTACAAAGACCACTTGTGGAATTGTGTAACAACAATAGTCCCAGAGTTCAACCATAGGATGAGGGAATTTAACTTGTATGATGTAGAAGCATATAATTGGTTAAAACAAATTCCCCCACAACACTAGGCAAGAAGCCACTTCACAGGTATATAACCGAAGTTCCAAATTCACCCTTTTGTTGTAGTATTTCTTAACATATGTTTGATTATGAGAAGAATCCAGCTTTGTGACAACATTATGGTGTTTTTAGGTAGAGCAATATCATATATGCTTTTGAATAATCATTCTGAAGATTTTAATAACAAGTTTATTGAGGGAAGGGACAAGCCACTGATAGTCTGCTTGGACTACATCAGAGAGTATATGATGAAAAGAATATGTAATGTCATAAAGGTGCAAAACAATTGTGTTGTTATGCTAACCCCATCTACAACAAATATCATGGACAAGAATGTTAATTGGGCATCTCAGTACACAACTAGGTGGAATGGATTAGACAAATACCAAGTGTCAGGGCCATGACAGGATCAATATGTTGTTGACATGGTTGAAAGAGTATGCAGCTGAAGGAACCGAGAATTAACATGAATCCCTTGTAAACATGTCATTACAGTCCTAAGTAACAAAGCTGATAATGGTGAGAAGGTTGGAGAATTGCACACTTATGCCCACAGGGTGCTCTGGCTAGAAGCATGGAAAACATCTTATGTGTAAAAGGTAGAGCCTATTAAAGGTCGAGCAATGTGGCCTATAAGTGAATGTCCAATTAAAATAACCCCTCCTCTACACCATAATCATCCTGGAAGGCCCAATAAAAAGAGGAAACAATCCGTTGAAGAGAAAAACCAGAAGAAGGGAAACAATGGTGCTAGTGTGAGTGGGAGTCAAAGTCATATTGCTAGTGGGAGTGGAAAGCTTACAAGAAATTTTATCAAAGTAACTTGTAGCAAGTGTAAAAATAAAGGGCACGATGCTAAAACTTGCAGGGGCCAAGGAGGTAACTGATGGGATTTGAAGGTATTTTGATGTATGTATGGGTATAAGTGTTTTTTTTGGGGGATAATGTTATGTTTATGTGTATTGTATGTTTAGTAGTTGATGCGTTTTGGGGTTTAAGAAATTTGGATGTTCTATTTTTGTACTTGATAGTTTATACTGTGATGTATAGGAACAATTTAGATTAGATTTGATGTAATTGCTTATATTATGTTAAATGTCTTGATGTTATTCTCATGTATAATTTTATGTTGTAGAACTTGACTCGTGTGCCCTTTAAAAAAACATACATACAATTATCATTGATAATGTTTACATTGTTTAAACAAAATACTACTCAAACCATTACACTTCAATCTAGTTCTTATAAACCGGAACAAACACAAACAACATCTAACTACATAACAGGTAACATTTGAGCCTTGTTTTTTGCGACTTCAATTTGTTGATTATTCTTAACAGCCCATGTATAATAGGTTTTGAACATTCACATGTTCGACCATCAAACCACCTAATAAATCGAAATTTGGATTCCTTCAAAATTGAAGAAACAAACTTAGATCGTAACATGTAATGGGAGAGTTATGTTGAAATCCAAAAAACTTTGCGTACCTCAGCACGGCATCCCCAGAAGCCTTGACCTTGATTTTTTTTAGTCCATGACGTGCGAACTACGACCATTTTACAAAAAAAAAACACCATTTTTGATTTCGATTTCTTGAAAAAGAAAAATATAGTTAATTTAGATCAACCGAAGAAGAAGAAGATGAGAACGACGTTAGAGAAGCTTGAGTAGCTTCAATTTTATAGAATTAATTTATTAATATTAAATAAGAGGAATAAATAAGGAATGACCAAAATACCCCCAATTTGACAAGTCAATGTATATTAGCGGAAGGAAATAGACGAAGGTTAACCCTTTGTACCAAAGACACAACAAAATGAAAACTTTGGGCCTGTAGTGCTAGTCCAAACTTTTTTGAACGAAAGTAGTAATTTTGAGCAAACCATAAGGACCATTTGTGCAGTTTAGTCTTTACAATACTATAGAGTATATAATTTATTAGTAAACATTAAATAATTAATAAATAATTTTAGTTTATAATAGTTGTCCTTCTACAAGTCAAGCCTACTACCTACATCACATTTTACAAATTAGCAAAGTGAGATCTAAATATATTTCATATCAATTAATTAATAGATAATACTTTGGGTGGAAGAAGAAAAAGAGAAAAAAAAAGTAACTTTGCTAGAGGAGACTGTAGAGGGAGACGAAAAGCAGAGCACACTGGAAATAAAAATGTTTTTAAACTCATGTTTTCTTAAATTCCGGTAGAGTAGTAATCAATAAAAATCAAGTGAAGAGGAGTCATGGCAGGGATTAATAATTTTTCAGGTTTTTTTAAACTCAAAGTTTGAGTTACGCATTGTATAAATATGAGTAGAATTTTAATTAGTTTTTATAAAGTTTTAGTTTCCTAGCCTTCCCCAACCCCTCTTACGGTCCAGCGCCACTATATGTATATACACACACGCGCACACACATATCACCAGTGTAGGACTTGAAAAACGAGTTCATGTCGAGTTGGGTCGGGTGGAGACAAGACAAACCATCAAACTTAAACGAACTCAAGGCAAAAAAAAAATTTAGTTTGATGAACATTATGCAAACCCAAACTTTAAACCAAGTATTTTAAGTTTGATAAAATTTATAATTTAAACTTGTAAAAGATAGTCTAAAAAACTACCAAACAAGATGTTTTCCTTTAGTTTAGAATCGTCTTTTTATAAAAACAGATTTGATTCCTTTCGCTAGTGATATGGGATAAGATGAGATTTATTTCATCCCATGTGTCTTTCAATTTCAACAAATTGCAACCTTATTTTCTTATGATTTTATTTTATTTATTTTTGGTTATTGTTAAATTACATAGTCAAATATTGTAAAACCTAACCTGTAAGATGTTTTGTTTTAATTGTTTATATATTTTTTTCACGTGATTTGTTTGGATGATGTGGAAATAATGATTGTTTTAAGAGCTGGAGATCTTAGGTGTTTAGAAGTTTAAGAATATATATATATATATATATATATATATATATATATATATATATATATATATATATATATATATATATATATATATATATATATATATATATATAGGTTAAGGTTCATTTGAGATCATTCTAATTTTATTAGATCAAATCTAAAAATAATTTTAAAATACAAAATAAATGGAAAAATCCAAAAATTCTTTTTTTAAATATTATTTTCGGAACTTGGATTAACTAAAAAAAATATAAAAAATAAAAAAAAAATCCCTTTTTTTTTTGAAAAATACGTGAAATATTCTAAATAGAATATTACACTGACATATTCTAAAAAATAATTTTAAAATGCAAAATAAATGAAAAAATCTAAAAATTTTTTTTTAAATATTATTTTCGGAACTTGAATTAACTAAAAAAAAATAAAAAAAAATCATATTTTTTTTTTTAAAAAAATACGTCAAATATTCTAAATAGAATATTACACTGTACATATTCTAAAAATAATTTTAAAATGCAAAATAAATGGAAAAATCAAAAAATTCTTTTTTTAAATAATATTTTCGGAACTTGAATTTATTAAAAAAAAATAAAAAAAAATAAAAAAATGCGTCTCACGGTCTCACAAAATTAAACCGTCTCAGATGAACCTAACCGTATATATATATATATATATATATATATATATATATATATATATATATATATATATATATATACACTATATTATTAAGGATATTGCCTATTTCTTGAAAATTAAGAGGTACAACATATATTACCTCATGTACAATAGTATTAAGCACATAACCAATCTTATACATATTACACGACACTACACGGACCTTACCTAATCTCCTAAACCGCTTCTCATCGTCTTTACGAAAGATGCAGTCCACCTTTTCCATCACACACAAGTAGCCCTAACCCTAGAAAACATAGATCAACCACGATCAACCAAGATTCTCGAGTAAGTTAAGGAATATCATCAAGAAAGAAAAGAGAAAATCCCACCGTCGCCACCTGACCTCGGATGGTACGCCATAGGATCTTTGAAGGAGCACGAAAGTGAATGGGACCTTGAGACAGCTTGGTATTCATACGCTTACGGAGAGGTAGATCTCTTCAATGTGCACAGTGGCGAGCGTCCACCACTACCTACTTTACGCAAATACCTGATCAACGTCACCTGCGAAGCTTCCGCCTATGTTGTCGGAGTAGCCAGATGGTTTCCTTGATAAACCGGTCTGGAATCTAACAAGTTATCTTGATTTTCTTTTCATAATGGAGTTACCTAATGTGTGACCAGATCTATGAAATTCGTGTTCATTGGTGCGTATATTTTGAATTAAGCTGTTTTATTATGTAGATTCTGAGCAATTAAGTGTGGTCAAGGAAGAGAAGGCTGGGAGCTTGTACGTTTGTGGATGCCCAGACTGGAAAATCGCTTTCCATGGAAAACGTGAAGAAGTCTCTGGCTGTTTGGGCTAAAGAGGTAATCTCCATATGCTTGATTGTTCATTTTGTAATCTTACTGGAACTAATGCATTTACATAATTACTCACACGATCTAAAAGATGGAGATTATAATGAGTGGAATCATGTATTGTTTCCAGACAGGAGGTTAATTCCCAATCATATTGGGCATAAACTGTACTTCTCTCTCAACTACTTCAGAAATTTTCAACAAGGTAAAACCTTATCAATACATTGATATGAATTGGCTCATATGCAACCAACTTAGTGCTTACAAGCTATTGCCTTTAGCAGATACTTGGAAATAGTCAACCACATAAGAAGGTCAACAACCGTTCTACACCCTTAAGTCAAATCCAGCAATTATATTCTCAAAAGCAACAGTCATGTGGCACAAAATGATGTAAGATGTATATGCCTTTTTTAGCTACATTTGAAAAATCCATCCAATTATAGCAATATGAATAGTTATTGATAAATGCTTTGTTAACAGGTTGGTTATTGTTGATGAATAACAGTCATCTCGCAAAAAAATGATGTAAGATGTATATGCCTTTTTTTAGCTACATTTAAAAAATTCATCCAATTATAGCAATGTGAATAGTTATTGATAAATTCTTTGTTAATAGGTTGGTTGTTGCTGATAAATTGGATTACTTGATTACAAAGGAACGGGTGGTGCTCTATGATTTATTTATGCTAACAACATTGCCCTTTTCAAAAATTATATTGATAGGTATGATTTGACATGGTTTTTTCAGTTTAATGTGCTCTTGATTTATCTATGTTTCTCATATTGGATCTTGTTTTATAGGTATAGCTAATGCAATTGACTTAGTTGCAATCTCTAAATTGTGAGTTACAATCTCTAAACTATGTTGCTATTTATTGAATTTAGCCAAATAGGTATATGCTCTTTTTTGGATTTTTGTTGATGAATGTTTTCTATAATTGTTTCTACTAGGCAAACCAATGGTTTTGTCTTTTCGAGCATACACCATGGATCAAATCATCATGATTCTCAAACAACAACTAATGGTCAATATTATTTATTAATCTTTTTAGCACTCTTGATTTTACTTTTTTTTTCTTTTGAGTTGCTTAATTTTCTGCAAAATGTTTATATTTTGATTAATATCTTGTTTCATCAGGCACTTCCTTACACTGTTTTCCAGCCACAAGCACTGGAACTTTGTGCAAGAGTGAGTATGTTGTACACCACATTATTATATGTATTTTCCTTCTATTTTTAATGTCAAAATTTATAAGACTTGACTTAACTTAAATATTGATTGGTAGAAAGTTGCAGCTTCATCAGGAGATATGAGGAAAGCTCTTGGTATCTGCAGGTTGGCATATTCTCCATTTTTTTAAAATCTTTTATTGCCTAAAAAGTCTCTCAAGGTTTCATATATTTGGATTAAACTGACGCTTTTATCCTTGGTTTTCAGAGGTGCAATTGAGAGGCTGGAAGCAGAGCTTAGAGAATCTATTTCTACTTCAAATCTATTCTCCATGGTAAACATTTCTTCTATTTAGTCCTTAAATAAATTTGGCAACTAAACTCTGATTTCTGCTTTTTCAAGTGTTGGTTAAAATCTTATACTTTTTGTTTCTAAATCTTCAATTTATGAAGTCACATCAAAGTATGAAATACCACAGGAAGAACTTGAGGGTGGTGTTAAGACTTTATCGCAGAAACTATCAGCAGCTCTTCTAAATATCAATAGCAAGGAAGACTTGGTCAAACATCATTCAAAAGTAGCAGAGGAAGCAGTTGAAGGTATCTAAAACTCTTAACTACTTTATATGTTCCAAAAACACCATCTGACCATTATGCCCTTCACTCTTTTGTGAAAAATGACATGGATGTCCTTTTCATTCTCATCATCGAGAGTAGCCTAGAAAGTTTGTCAAGTCCAGTCCTGTCTATTCCATTCTTGTCATACATTAAGGTCAACGACCTAATTTTGGAACTTTGAACTTGAAATGGAACAATTAACTTTAGACTCGGAAATATTGGTTTCAATCTCACTACCAAAGTATTTTCGTCTTTTCCTTCTTTTTTTACTTCTTTATATGCAATTTGAATATATTGTGCTAATATTTGTTAATTTTTTTATTGGCTATGTCAAAAGAAGATCTTAAACGTTTATTAATTTACTGCATATCGATAACTATAGATTCTTTCATAGAAAAATGATGTTGACACAATAAAACTTTAGAAAATATCCAGAAAATTGTATTGTACTCTATAAAAATATGAATTTTAACATTTTTTACAAACAAAAGTACAATGTTTTGAAAGTGTGAGTATGTTTTGTTTGGGAAAGTTTGTATTGCTGTTGATAGATTTTTAAAGACTGTTTTGCCCCGATTTGATTAAAATAGTTATTAAATGTGATATGTGCAAAAGGTGGGTTAAAAAGAACAAAAAAGGCTATTTGTCGTCTTTATTTTGGATAAAGGGCATTTTGGTCATTTTATAGAAAAATGAAATTTACCAATAAAACTTTTAAAAATATACAGAAAATAGCATTCTACTTTATAAAAATATCATTTTTAACATTTTTTACAAACGAAAGTACTATGTTGTGTGACTATGTGTTCCCAAAAAATATTGCAACAAATCTGACCGTTTTGCCCATGCTCAGAAAATATTGGTTTCAATCTGAATTTCATTTCAACGACATATTTTCTTAAGAACATGTTTTCGGGAATAGTATATAAGAAAAGGTTATTAAGAAATCTGACTTTCATTCCAATGACATATTTTTTAAGAAGTGTTTTGCTCCGATTTGATTAAAAAAATTATTAAATGTGATATGTGCAACTGGTTGCTTAAAAAGAAAAGAAAAGGTTATTTTTTGTGTTTATTTTGGATAAAGGGTATTTTGGTTTTTTTTATAGAAAAATCAAATTTGACATATTTTTTAAGAACTCTATTGATATGTTTTGATTACAGTCTGATGATGAACGTTTTTATTATAGCACAAACTAAGTATATATTTTGTATAAAGTTGTAGGCTTTGAATGGCTTATTAATAAGATGAAATGAATGAAAAATTTAATCTACATGTATTTATGCATGTATTTATGCAGCTGGCTAAAGTGCTCTAGCTGACATACTCGATAATTCAAAAACAAAATGTACATGGAATTTTCTATCATATCACTTATAGCTTGTGCAAGGTATGTCTTGCTTTAGTTTTGTTTCACTTTAAAATTAGTTGAATACAAACTTAGTGGTACTTATTTTCATTTGGACAAAGATTAGAAATGTATTTCTTTATTTCGCACCCGTCGCTTGGCGCGGGTAAACGGCTAGTATATATATATATATATATATATATATATATATATATATATATATATATATATATATATATATATATATATATATATATATATATATATATATATGTTTGGAACAGTAAAGTTTCAAAGGATTTAACATAATTGGTCCTTCTTTTTTATCAATTTTGATACTTTTGATTTTTTTTAGGAATCTTTTAATATTTAAAATTTAGCCATAAAGTTTTAAGGAATTAACAACTTTGATTCATTTTCTAAAAACTTGCTAATTTCAACCACTAAATTTGTCTTTTTTGTCAACTTTGCCCCTTTTTTTTTATCCATTTTGACACTTTTGATCATTGGAATCAATTTTTTTTTTCATTTTTAAGAACATTTTAATATTCAAAGTTTGGCCATACAATTTTAAGAAATTGAAGACTTTGGTTCATTTTCCAAAAAACTTGTTAATTCAAACTCCTTTAACTCTTTAGCCATTTTGACACTTTTGATCATTGGAATAAAAAAATTTTACATTTTTTAGGAACCTTTTAATATTCAAAATTTGACTACAAAACTTTAAAAAATTGACAACTTTGATCCATTTTCTGAAAACTTGCTAATTCAAACTCATTTAACTCTTTAACCATTTTAATACTAATCTTACAGTTAAAACATTTTACATTTTTTCATAAAAAACACAAAAAACGGCCCGGGGTTAAGCCCGAGTTTTTCCGCTAGTTATAGTTATAGACTAAAATTGAAGAATGAAGAGAGCTAGAAAATATAAAAGAAGTAAAAGTTGGAGGACTGATGGTGTTAATATTCGGTGAATATAAATTCATTTGTAAAAAGTAATCTTCTCTTTTCTTTTGTAACGCAGCTAACGCTAGACAGAGAAAACCCTTTCCCTGTTCTCTTTCTATTGCTTTCGGGTTTCTTTATTTATGTATATTTATTTATTTATATGGCTGCTTCTGTTCTTCTCTTCTTATTTCGTGCGAGTTGCACAATTATTTTAGTTGCATGTAGTTGCACAATAATAATATTTTTTATATTTTTGAGGATGAAATCGGAGTGGTGACCCGAGATCTATATAATGTCCGGCTGTCCGCGACTATATATCACTTTTTTATATTCGTAAAAATATACTTTTTAGTTTTTTGTATAAATGATTTATAATAAAGATATAACATATACATAATATCCTCCGAATTAAATTTATTATTAACTTTTATGAATGAAGTTTTGATGTATATATTTGATTGTACTTTAGTTATATTGTTATGGAATTTAAGTTGTGAATGGATTATATTGTAAATTTTATAAACAAATATGATATTTTTCGATACATTTTGGATCATGTGAATATGATTTTACATAATAACTAATTTCTAATCATTGTGTTCGTAGTAAAAAATTGTATATATCAAAAACCTTGTTAATAAAAAATCATTTTAGTCAAATATTTAAAGTCTAGAGGAAATATGGTTAGAATTATTGTTTTGTTTTTAATATTTCTAAATGATTATTCATCACTTTTACAAATAACTTTTTAAATATCTATGAAATGAAGATACTTATTTTTTATTTTAAATATATAATTTCATGAATAATTTGGAATATGAAAGAGACCTGCCACGTACCCAGGCACAAAGTCGATACCTTCAATACCAATCTCTCTCATGAAAACCAACTAGCCTTCATATAACGGTTTTGCTTGGCTCCAAACCATCTATTATTCCTAAGCATGGAATATAGTATAATAATATTCTTATATTATATTAACTAATTTATGACCACAGGAATCACAAGTTATAAAATTAATTAAATTTCGTAATAAAAATTTATATTATTAATCAAATATTTTAAATAAATCAATTTAAATAAATTATTAATTAAGAGATATATCAAAAATTTAAAGTTATTATAACTTCAAATTTAACATATAATTAGAAAATAAATTTGAATTTTGAAATGAGTTGTTCAATATATCTACATAACACATATCATAATATTAATGATGAGTTGTATTAGAGTGACACTTTACAAAAAAAAAAAGATTAAAACTATTCATTTGTTAGAATATGGATTATATACAATGTACGTCCATACACTTATTTTACGTACCCAAGGTATGAATCTCACAATGATGCCATCGTAAAGTTCAAAAATATGTAATAAAACGTGCAAAATCAAAAACTTAAGGTCGGCATGTTATCAACCACACACAAAGCACATAAACGAGACAATGTATATTTATTTTAATAAGGGCAACAAAACTTATGAGTAGGGTTGATAACATAAACTCGAGGTTGGCATGTTATCACTCAATTCAATGTTATATCTATTTTAATAAGGGCAACAAAGCTTCAATCATATTCATTTGAAAGTGTGCATGATTTATTGAATATATTCAACTTGTGTGTTCTCTATGTATATTCAAATTTGTATCAAATTCTTCATTTATATTCAACTTGTATTTCAAATTATCAATGTATATTCAACTTGATTAAATTCTTCGTGTATAATCAACTTGTGTATTCTCCATATATATATATATATATATATATATATATATATATATATATATATATATATATATATATAGGGAAAAGTGAATATACCCATAAACTTAGGTACCCAAACTCACCATAATACGTCATTTTGTTTGATATATTCATTATAGTGTTCTTAAAATTCAACCCTAACTTGATTACTTTCAAGATTTTCGAAATTTCACTCTTAATTTCCTCTTACATCACATCTTTATACCGGACACTTACTAGGCTATATATATTATTGTTAAAAATGAAAATTATGTAAAAGGAAGATAAATGTAAAATTTTTAAAAATATTGGACTTATATCAAGTTAGAAGTTGAATTAAAAGAACATTGGACATTTACAATGTGTATTTATCCTCCTCTTACATAATTGTCATTTTCAACAACAATATATATAACCTAATAAATGTTCGACAAAAAGATGTGATGTAAGTGGAATATAATAGTGAAAATTAAAAAATATTGAATATAAATCAAGTTAAGGATTGAAGTTTAGCAATATTATAATGAATATGTCAAACAAAACGACGTATTATTATGAGTTTGGGTACCTAAGCTTATATACCCTTAAGGGTATATTCACTTTTCCCATATATATATATATATATATATATATATATATATATATATATATATATATATATATATATATATATATATATATATATATATATATAATGTTGAATAATATTAATATTATGTAGAAAACTAATCATATCCGATCAATTAAACCAATTCCATAATTATACAGTTTTTGAAGATGGTAGTTTCCGTAAATTTTAATTAATATGATTAATATACAATTTCTCATTAATTGTGGATGATTAGTTAATTATTTTAAATTTTGAATTAATTAAATCCGAAAATACAAACGATATAATTCATTCTCATTCTTTCTCACAATAAATTCATTTCTCATATATATATATAT